TGGGTCTAAGCCTCAAGAAACTCAGCAAAGATAATCAAAATTATTATTATTTCCATATAAACCCCCACCCAGGGACTGCTTTACCAGCATTGCTGTAACCTGCCTAGATTTCAACTTTCTCCTCAGCAGACTCCAAACCATCACCCATTCTTACTTTCCTCCTAAAAACAGACCACAACTGAATTTGCACCCCAGGATCACCCTTCCCACCCTCCCTGGCCACAATTTCCATGGTTCCCATTTCCAGTGCTGGTTTCCAGATGTCCAGTGGGGTTGGGTGCCATAACCTGTGTTTCACAGGATTTTCTCCACCACCAGCAGAGTCAGGGACTGGATCCTGGGTCAGGGAGAGGACCACAAATCTGGACTTAACCAGAGTTCCAACTCTGCCATTTTACAAGGGGGACAAAAAGGCCCTTTGGGGACCAGCACAGGCAGCTGGACAGTGAGGTGAGGGTGGGGAGTGACCCCCAGCCCCTCCTGCACCTCAAGGCCTGACACGGCTCTAAACTGGTGACCCTCCAGCAACACGTGTAGGGTCATCAGTCCACCAAAATGTGTTTGAGCTTCTTTAATAGGACTATATTGAAAAACCAAACTCTTTTCTTTTATCAGTTTTTCATGAAGGTTTTCATCGTTTCCTTGGAAGGATTTATCAGTCAGATTCTGGTTTTGGTCAATGTGAGGCAAAATTTCTCTTTCCATTACAGAATACATGGTGTGTGCTCAGCAGGCAGAGTTCCACCCAGCTCTGGGTGCAGATCCATGGTATGAGCCCCACTCAGCCCAAGAGCACCTCACCCATCTCACCTGGCCAAAGTGACACCAGCTTGTCATGGGGCTCCCTTGTCCTCACTCCTCAGTTCCCCTGTGTCCCTCTGGCCCCAGCTGGGACAGGTCACCTGCTGTGCCTTCTCTTGCTTGCTTTTGGAGACTTCCCACTCTTAGGAGGCTCCTTGAACACAGAAAGGAACACAAATTATAAATTGAGGAGGGGTAGAAATGAGGGCAGGGAATCAGGTGAGACCCTGTAGGGAAAGATGTCCCAACATCCACATTCTCTGCCCCACAGGCAGGCTGCCCTGCACGTCTCAGCCCTCTCTGCTCCTGCTCTAGGACAAGATTGACTTCCTCAGGCTCACTTCTGCTTCTCCAACAGGGCTGGCACTGTCCCCCTCTGGCCCTGGCACCAGGAAATTAGGCCCCACTGTTGGGTGACTGCTGTGAGGGATGAGTCCCAGCAGGGACAGCCTGGACACGTCACACAGATTTACAGCCAGAAAGGAAAATGTTACCATCAGGAGGAAAATAGAAATGTGCTTCAAAATAAGATAAAATTGGTGCCTCTGGAATAGTGATGGGAGAATGCAAACAAGTTTGGTGTGTGTTAGCACCCCCTGAGTCCTCTCTCACAGAGCCTGGAGGGCTCAGCCCACTGTCAGGTGCTGAGCAGCATGGGAGGGTGGCAAAATCTGCAGGCAGGAGAGTGAATTTTCCTGTCTTGTGCATGACAAGGTGGCAGCCTCAGGGCTGAGAGGGCTGCAGACTTTCAACAAGATGAATTATGCATTTGCCCTGGTTTCATCCCCTCACGTCTCTGCACAGCTCAAAAATTCCCCCTCTTTGTTTCCTCTATCAATCCCAGCTCTCCACCCTTGGAGGTGCAGGCATGAGCCAGCTGTGTGTGACCTCACTAGAAAAACCTCCTCTGACTCCTTCCACTCACGTTAGTAATTCTCTGACCTCATTCCAAGCTCTGCACCTGGGTCAGAACCTGCAGTGCTCTCCTTGGATGGGGAGAGACGTGTCCCAACTGCTCCTGCACCGAGCAGGTTGGGAGCACGTCAGCTCCTGCTGCCAGTGCTCCGGGGTCTGAGGCACCAGCAGCAGCCTGAGTCATTGCCACACCTGGCTGTGGTAATAGGTGGCCAAGGAGCCCATGGCACCAATCTAGCCCACCTCAGCACTTTAAACCAACCAGTGGTTTTGTGGGATTTTTTTCCAGGTTTAAGCATTTAACAGCAGGGGGAAGCCTGACGTGGAGAGCAGCGTGGGCTTGGCTTTTTATGTAGTGCTTGTAGCATTTGGAAAATTATCCTCTGAGTACTAAATATTTGAGTCATTCTGGGATAGCACTGCATCTACTTTTAGATGTTACCATGTGCTCTCCTCTGCCACAGTTTATGAGGTAAGAATCTTATAAACCATCAAGAAAAAACTCATGCTCCTCATGCTGCTCATGCTCTTCCTCTTCTCTCTCTGGGCTTTGGAAACTTCAGGGGAAATCAAAAGGGGTTTTTATCCTCTTAATGTCAATTAGCTGAAAAGGTAAAATACCTTGTGATGAAGCCACAGGTGGTTTGAGAGTGCTCTCTGTGTGGTGCCCAGCCTGGCTTTTCCAGCAAAGCCCAGTTCCTGGAAGCCCAGCAGGACTCACGTGGCAGGGTGTTTGGCCACCTTTATAAAGGTTAATATTTATCAGAAAGATCTTCCTCAGTCACCCTGCCTACGAGCCCACGTGAGAAGAAAATTTCCCGTGCAGAAATTCCAGCTAACTTGGCAATGAGGGGAACAGGGTTGGGAGAGGCTCCAAACCCCCTGAAGAGAACAGGATAACAGCATGTGGGTGCTCAGGAGATACCCTGGCAGAGCAAGTCAGGCTCCCGGCACCAAGCTGGGGAGCTGCTGGTGGCACAGGGCATCATCCCCTGCCAGGCCCTCGGTGCTGCAGTGGCTGGTGGCAGGGGAAGCCTGGCAGTGAGTGCAGAGCTCTCTCAGGCTGGGCCATCTCATTATTTAATCCCCCTCTCCTGTTTCACCGAGCTGAGCTCTGTGCTCCCCACTGCAACCTGCCACGGCACAAGGGTGCCAGACATGGTGCCCCAGGGAGGGTTGGACATGTTAGACCCTCATTCAGTGTGGGAGGCATCTCCTGCACTAACAGCTCTCCATTCCTGCTCCCCTTCAGAGCAAGGACTCCAAATCCTTTGTGCTGAGTCAGGATAACTGCAATGCAGCAGGATGGGAATCCCTCAAGGAGCTGCAGCCAACGCCGGAGGCTCCGGCTGCTCCAGCCTTCAACCCATCAGCACTGGGTGTCCTGCCTTGCACTCTGCCTTGGAGCAAAGTGCTGCAGCTGTGCTTCAGTTCTCACAGTGCTCTATGGAAACCCTCCTCGTGTCCTGCCCCAGCTGCTCTCAGACCATGCCAGTGGCACTCAGCTCCTGCCAAGGGACTGGGAGAAAGTGATGCTCAGAGACTGAGCTGCATCCCGCTGGGATAGAGCAGCTTGGGAGGGCAGAGATCAGACATGGTAAAAACTGAGCATTGGGAAGGGGAGTTCTGGTGCCCTGTGAAGCTCCTTAGCAGGATTTCAAGGCCAGGCTTGATGAAGCTTCAAGGATATTGGCAGGACTGAGGGGATTCCCAGGATCAGCCCAAGCTCAACACAGAGGGGTGAGCGCTCCCCTCAGATCTTTTCAGCCATTTGCTTCTCTTCTTCCCTTGCTGAACTGACCCAGGACAATGCCAGGGTCGCTGAGCTGCTTCATCCTCAGAGCCCAAAACTGGGGTGAGACGTTGCAAGTCTGAGATCCCAGTTCAAGCCTGGGATCTTCAGTTCAAGCCCGTGGTCCCAGGCAGGTGTGAGCAGACATCCAGGGACTCCCAGGCTCTGGAGCAGTGACGAGGCAAGCACTGCCCCTTGAGATCATCCCGTCATCCAGACTGCCATGGATTAACTTGTCACTGCAGCAGGAAGAGGCTGGGATGTGTCTGTGGGCAGAGAAGGGAGGGTAAAATTCCCTTCTTCCCCCCGCAGCTTCCTTGCACAGAGGAAGTGCGGGGGCACTTTCATGTAGCATTTGCTTCAGAGAGCTTTAAACAGCTCCAAGCTGGGGGGAAATATCATCTTCTGAACCACAAACTATTCCTGGCATTGGCTCCACTAAAAAAGAGCTATAAAAGGTCAAACTCATTCACAGCATAAAATGTAGCTCTGCATCATCATTGCTACAGACTGGAAAATGCCAGAGGGGGTCATTCTTGTTGACTTCCCTAAGCAACATCTGTTTAAAAAAAACCTCCTGCAGTCAGCAGAACTGCCCCAAGCCCAGCTCTTGGCTGACTGAGCACACAGCCAGGTTTGGGGACAGAGCTGGGGCTCAGGGGGACACAGCTGGGCTGACCCAAGAGACACGAGTGTCACCCTGGCCACAAATCCCAGTGCAAACTGTCTGCGTCTTGCTGGCACACAGCCTCACCGTGGCTCAGGGTTGGCTGGGGCTGTGTGATCACAGAATCCCAGAGTGGCTTAGGTTGGAAGGGATCTTCAAGATCCTCTTGTTCCAATGCCTTGCCATGGGCAGGGATGCCAACATGTGGAGAAGCATGTGGGAAAAACAGACAAGGGTAAGCAGGGTCAGGTACAACATCTGGGACTCCCAACACCACCTCCAAGTGAGACTAGGAAAGGACTCAGGTGAAAGAGTTGTACGATAAAATAACTTCTTTGGTTTCTTTCTTTAGAAAACACCTTTTACCATGGTATAAAAACAGGTAGTTAACAAATAAATTTCAAGCAACCTCTACCAGTGAGTTTGGGGCATCCTCCCCTTTCCTGTGCCTCAGCAGCAAACTCTCTTCTCAAACAAAAGCATGACAAAAATCGCAAGCAAATCCTCTTGGAAAATACTGTTAAATGACTAAAACCCCCAGCAAGCCCAAACTTACACAGTTTAAAACAAAGTCAAACAGTTTTCTATATAGGGGACCATGTTCTTCCCCAGAAATAATGACCCTCGATGCAGGTTTTCCTTCTGATAAAATATTGACTCTTGCTGAGGGCTGGAAAATCAGTGGCCAACACCTGGTGAGCTCCCAGGAGCTGCCCCAGCCTCTGGCAAGGGGATGCTGCTGCTACTCACACATTTTATCCCATCCCATCCCATCCCATCCCATCCCATCCCATCCCATCCCATCAGCAGTGACACAGCTGCCGTGGCACGATGCCACTCCATCGCTCATCTCTCATGCTACTTTTCAAGTTATGTTTGGAAAGATGAATAAATTAATGAAGCCTCAGAAGATAAAAACCAAAACAAAGAGCACCCAAAAAGTCCAGTTCCTGCTCTCAGGGCAGCTGGAAGCGCTCACGGACTTTCTCCTCGATGGAGTGGAGCTTGACCACGCGCAGCGCGTCCAGCAGCTCCTTGGTGACTTCAGAGTCCTCCTGCTTCTTGTGAGTGAGGAAAGCCCGGAATTTCTCCTGGATGGCTGCCCTGGTCCATGCTGCCTGCTTCTTTGGTGAGCGCTCCAGGATCTGCTGCAGGCGCTTCAGCTTCTTGACGGGGATGTTCTGGTACACCACAAAGTCTATCATGGCCTGATCGCAGTCGTCATCTTCTGCAGCTGCTGGGGGAAAACAGCCCGGGGGTTAAAGGGACGTGGGACAGCAGGGCACAGCCCTGCCAAGGCTCTCTGTGGGGCGTCTGCCCAGGGAGCTGGTGAATGCCCCAGGCCTGGAAGCGTTCAAGGCCAGGAACAACCTGGTCTGGTGGAAGGCTGAAATTCCTGTCAGTGATGCACCCGACATGGGGCAGTTGGAAAACAAGGGGTAGAGGTTCTGTAGAAAGTCAATGTACCTATTCCATGCTCCTCCCCATCAGGGAATGGAGGAAAAGCCCAGACAAATCTGAAGCAATTGCAGTAAGTATTTACACATTCTTTTTCCTCAGAGTTTCTATGTTCTCCCACAGATTTGTAACCCTTGTAACAGGACCAGCCCCCAGCACAGCCCCAGTCAGGGCGCTGGGATGGGACAGATCCGGCCCCAGCTGGTGGAAGCTGCTGGAGTGCATCCAGCATAAGGAATGAAAACAGAAAGAATTTTCAAGATGTCAAGGCCAAATGATTGCTCAATCAGGGAGAGATTGGCCCAGTTTCATGCCCTTGCAAACTGGGAATGGTTTCACTGGTTATAGTGGGGTGGGTTGAGCTCCACTGCTCCGGCTCTGCCTCTCCAGCAGGCTCGGCTTGATGATGAGCAGATCCCTGTGTGCCTCCTGAGAGGAATCATAATATACTGGAGTTAAAAAAACCTTCAGCTCCCACTGCTGGGGCCTCGTCCCTCTATAAATATCTGCAAAGGGCTGGTCTGGCTGCGGGGGTGGTGCCCCATGCACGTGCTGCTGACACTGCTCTGACCTGGCCATCCCCCACCCCGGGACTGCATCCCACTGGTGACGGAGCTTTCCAGTCTCTGTCAGGATCACACTCCTGGCAGGCAGCTCATGGTGTGAGTCAGGCTTTGTAGGGAGAAATAACTGTGCTGGTGGTGCCAGGAGAGCGTGGAAAAGTGAGAGCTGCCCGGGGCGGGGGGGAAGCCTCCACATTCCCTCACCATGGAGGAAAATCTTTTAGAGTCATTGGATGTCCTGAGTTGGAAGGGACCCACAAGGTTCATTGAGTCCAAGTTCTGGCTCTGCACAGACCACCCAAAACCCCTACAACATGCCTGGCAGCTTTGGCCATGACCCTTTCCTGGGGAGCCTGTTCCAGTGCCTGACCACCTTGTGGGTGAGTTTCATTAAAGCTTTTCTACCAAGTTTCATCCTGATGGAAGAATGACATTTTTTCACTGCAGAACAACCTCCCCTGGATGAGATGAGGTCCCCATTGCTTTTCAGATTTTCAGGACGTGGCACTGGATAATTTCATCCAGGCTCACTTTCCCGTTAAAGCTTGGACCAGATAAATTTTCTAAGTCCCTCCCAGCCTGAGCTCTTCTATGGCTTTATGACTGATTATATTTTTGGAAGCCTAAAGGTGAAGGGACGCTGCCAGCCAGACCAGTTACACAAAATTAGTTTCCCATGTCTGGATCCTCAGGGTGGAGCAGGTGATTCCAAACAGCTTCCAGCCTCATCTCAGCTGGCATCAGGCCCTTGAGATGGGTCTGGGGGCTCTAGAGATGGTTTTTTAGTCCCTTTCTCACTCCCTAACTTGGGTAGGAAGCATGTTACGAAGCACCCTTGGAACAAAGCCTTTTTCTCTGCCTGCACCTCTTCCCCTGGTTTTTTGTCAAGAAAGGTTCAACCAAATGGTCCTTGAGGTCCCTTCCAACCTGGGATTCAGGGATTCTCTGATCTGTGCCCATTGGCCGTTCCTGCCCAAGAACCATCTCTGCCACAGCTCAGCACTCCATCTGCACCACCACGGTGACATGACTGACACCACATCTCCACTTTCACACCTGATGGGTCAAAATCCACCCCACACCAGCTCCAAAGAACCTTGGGCTCTGCTCCACTCAACCTGCACAAGACCAGGCTGTGGCTGCCATAAAATCTTCCAGAAAACAGGTGCAGCCAGGGAAAGGGAGGGCAGGAGCTGTGCCAGCAGCCAAGCTGGGTGCCTCAGCTGCCAAAATCCCCTGTCCCAGCATTCCCAGTTGTTCCTGGTAAGATCCAGCAGGATTTCACTGTCAGCTCTTTGTTCTCGCTGTGCAGTGAGTGTTGCTTAAGCCCAGCACTCTGTCCTTGCTCTATGGGACTGACACTGGAAGGAATGAAGGGAGACAGACTATTTTATCCATAATTATTATTAATTATGGATCACTCCATGTTTTTACAAGCCATTTCACCTCATTTGCATCTAAGTAGGAGAAAGTAATGAGGAAGTTTGCTCTCCCTCTGGCAGCATCAGTCCTGGCATGCTGTGCCCGTGGCTCACCTGATTCCTGTGTGCTGTTGCCTCTCCCTGGTCTGCAGGACATGCAGAGGGTGTCGTGGTACTTGTTGCCCTGCACGTTGGTCACCTTCCCCTGCTGCTCACAGTCCTGGTGTGGCTGGCATGGGCTGGTGCTGGAGTGGGAGGAGAAGAAGCCGTGGGGGCAGTCACGGCACTGGGTGTCCTCAAAGGGGGTGCCTGTGCATGGGGAGACATCGGGACTGTCAGGGGACAAGCAGGCACAGGAGCAGAGGCAGCAGCTGGGGATGGTGCCCGACACCATTTGAGCATGAAGGTGAAGTTTTGGAAGTGCTCTCTGCCAGCATCTCCCCTGGGAACTGCATGTCCTCACCCAGGGCAAAGAGCAGTGCTCACCGTGCTGATAAATTGTCAGCAGCCCACAGACATGAGAGGACAACAAGAGGACATCCCAGTATGAAAAGGCCACCTCCCAGGCAGGAGCCAGCAGCCAGGCTGGTGGCTGAGCTGCCGAACCAGCCCTTCTGCCCCCAGAGCCCTTCTCCCCAGAGCCGGAGGCTCCCGAGCAAGTGAAAGTAAAAGTCCCAGTGGAGGTGAAAGCTGAGCTGTCCTTGGCCGCGCTGTCACCGCTCCCCTGGCCCCGGGCCAGCGCTTCCCCGGTGTCACAGGGCTGATGCCACGCGGGCAGGACCGCACCGAGCAGCATTCCCGTTCTCTGGAAATGTTGCCCCGGGGCAGGAGAATTCCCACCCCTTTCAACTCCTCTTCATGAATCAAATTACAAGCAGTTTCTAGGTTGTTGCTGCCGCCTTTAGGCTTTCCCAAAAGTCTGATCTTTCAGGTTCCTCCCAGCCCAGACCATTCATAAGGCCCAGCCATAACCCCCAACATCTGAGCCACTGTTTACAAATGGGAAATCCCAAAGAAGTTGGTTTGCCCGGGGGATTGCGCAAGGATCAAAGCCCTCATCCAATCCAAGCAGCAGCAAACTCTGCCTACAGCCCCCAGCCCACACCTTCCTCAGCCAGACAGCAGCACTGGCAGGTCCAGGGCTCTGCCCACCACACTGGACACTCAGTCCTTGCTGTGGTGCTCAGGTGGCTGGGCTGGGGGGCAATCCTCCCCTCATAAGAAGCCATTTGCAAAAAATAAATAATAATAACCAAATAAAAACAGCTTCTCCTCAAATACCCAGCTTGCTTGCATGGCTCCTCAGTCCTAAAGCCAACCCTCCAGACAAATTTCATGTTTCGTTTCAAAGTGCTTTCCTGTAATGCCTGGAGGTCTTCTTCCCCCTTTGCTGTGTTACTGCATTTTGTCATGTCCTATGGAAAATTAAACCCCAGATCTCAATCATAAACATCAGCTGAAGACAGCAGATATTTTCCCCATGGCTGGTGAGCCTGGAGCTCTTCCGTGCCACTCATGGAAGACCTTCAAAAGACTCCATGCTTCAAAATCCTCCCTGTTTCACAGTGTGAAGTAAGATGCTGCTGGGTTTGCTGGTTTGCTGGCACCTGCTGTGGTTTCCAGGCAGAGCCTGGTCCTCACTGATTGATGAGTTTACACACATTTGGAGCAATTAAAGGACCAGAGAAATCTGTACTGGGGAAACAACAGGAGAATAAATCCCCTAAAATACCTTGGGACTTAGATCACACAAGGAGACAGAATCTCAGACTCGGGAGTCAAAACAAAGCTGGTTTTGTGGGTTTGGAACCTGGCTGTGTGTCCACTGTGTGTTTTCAACACAGCCTCTCCAAACTGCTCAATGAAAAACCACAAAACTGGCCCCAGAGCTACACACATTCCCCAGCCCTGCCCTTACATCATCAGCCACCTCCTTCGGCCCAGATAATCAGCATTCCCAGCTCCCAGGCTGTCTATGCAAGGAGAAGGCAGCTGATGAATGATCAGGAGCAGCCTGGACTTTCCCACCTGCCTGTGGAGCAGGGCCAGCGGCTGCTCCAGGGATGGCCAAGTCACAGCCTGGCTCTGCCTGCCGTGGCAGGTGAGGCAGGTAGCTGGGATTGACACATCCCATCCAAGTGTGCTGCTGGGGATTTCAGAAGCTTTCAAAGTGATAGCTGGGGAAAAACCCAACTAAATTCCTCCTTGGAAAAGAAGCAGGAGCACGCCGGCAAGGATGGCTCTGTGCCAGTACCAGAGCCAAAAGGGAGTCGGTCAGGCTGTGGGCAGGCATTGGCTGCTGCATTTGGCTGCTGTGTTTGTCCTTGATTTTTATCTCCCGCGGAGATTTTGGGGCGTGACAAGAGCCGCGTGAGCACGAACAGCGCCCGGATTACTTACCCGGCTTCACAGCGCCGGAGCCCGGCGGGCACTCGGAGTGCCTGATGCAGAGCTCCATGTTGGAGTAGTAGCCCTGCTGGCACTGGCAGGCGCGGTTGTGCGTGGCATTGCACTGCTGCACCTCCACCTGCCTCTCCCCGCAGATGACGTTGCAGTAGCGGCATTTCTCCAGGTAGTTCCAGTACTGAGTGTAGTGCAAATCCGGGCAGGGCTCGCACAGCGTGGCTCTGTCCCTGGAGCAGTGCTGTGCCACGAAGGTCCCCGGCGGGCACTGCTGGCATGTGATCCTCTCGCCCGTCACAGCATCCTTCCACTGGTACGTGGGCTGGGCATCGCAGGCGAGCTCAGCCAGCAAAAGGAGGAGAGGGGGGAGCATCCACTACGGCAAAGACAGCGCAAAGAGCCCTGAGCTCGTCCTCAGGCAGAGGCGGGAGCAGCAAACGCGGCTGATGCTGTTACAGAACTTGTTACTGTTGTAGATACAGGAAATTGTTCTCCCTCCCTGTGATGTTCCCAGCCCAAGCACTAGGTGCTGCCCTCCTTTGCCATCCCAGGTGACAGAGCATCCTTCCCAAACCCGTTTGTGGTGCATTCAGAACCCAACATCCCTCACTCAGAACTTGGAGCAGCTCCAGCACATTCCCCTCTTTCACCCCAGTCAGTTCCCCACCACTGCAGTAAGAGACACCTCTGCAAACCAAGAAGCAGAAAGGAAGTTTTCCAAACTAGCAGATACAAAGCATGCTCCCTAGGACCTTTAACATTCCAGGAAACCCAGCTGCTCAGGCTAGGACTGAATCCCCGAGCTGTAGATCCTCCCTTTCCTCTCCAAAGCCCACGTGCCCAGCCTGGCAAGCAGAAGATCCATTACCTTGGGTGGATGCCTCAGACTCGGCACGTGGCAGGATGGCATCGCACCGAGGGCTTCCGAGCGCCGGGATCAGAAACCTGGGGAGACAGAGAGGGTTCCTCAGAGGCTGGTGCTGCCTGCGCCGCGGCTCCTCTCTGCAGCAGCCCTTCAGCCCGACCGGCCAGCGTAAAAACAGAGGGAGGTGGGGAAGGGCTGATAGGTAAAGGCTGATAGGGAAGGGCTGATAGGGAAGGGCTGTTGGGAAAGACTGGGTTTCCTCGCCTGCTTGCCTCCGAGTCAGCCTTTCCTCGGAGGGAGATGCCGGCTCTCCCAGCGCAGGGACGGAGCCGAGCCTTATAGCGGCTGCGGGCGGGAGGCTCTGGGCACCCCCGCACCCACGCAGTGCCAGACACGTGGAATCGCCCGGGGGAGGGAAACCACCCCCAGCCCACCGCAGCCCAGAGGGAGCAGGAGCTGGTGGGGAAGCAGCCGAGATCTCCCTTTCCTCCCTTTCCTTCCCACCCCATCCCATCCCTCGGGACCGGCTCCGCTCACCGCACCTCCGCCTCGCACCTCCGCTCCCCGCGGCCGGCAGCGCCTTTATAAACCGGCCCCTAGGAAAGACCCCTCTTGGGCAAGGGGAGGTGACATCCATCCCGGCCCCTCCGACGCCATCCCGGCCCCCTTCCCGATCCCCGGCCGCGGCCGCACCGGCTCCGCCTTCGCGTCCCGGAGCCCTCCCTCACCCGAGCCGCTTTCGCTCTCGTTTCTGAGCTCGCCTCTAAAGTGGAGCTTTCAGAGCAATGAAGTTTGTTTATCCGTGTGGAGGAAGGAGGAGAGTGGGATTCGCACTGTTTTTCAAAGCTCTCTAAGTTTTACAGGGGGTTGGTGAGAAATCGTTTTCTGGCAAGGGGAAAGGCAGGGAAATTCCCCTGTGAACGTTCAGTTCCCCGGCTGCGAGCGCCAAAGAACTTCCCAGTAACAGCAGCTGCCTCTCGCTGGGAGTTTGCCCCGTCAAAGGCAGCCCCGAGGGGCCGCTCCTGGCTGTGGCTGCGGGCAGTGAAACCGATGGAAGCATCGCTCCGGCTCTGCCCAGATCCCATCCCGCTTCTCCTCCGAGGGCACTGACCCTGCCAAAACGGCCCCGATCGTCAGTGCTTGGGCACTGCATTCCTGAAGCCGGCTCCGAGCTTCAACCCTCTCCTTTCAGGATGACGGCACCTCCAAGTGTAACACCAAACCCGGGTACCTTTGGTAGCACAACACCCAGCAGCTAAGGAGTCAGCACTTAAATCCCTTACAGGTGACAGTGCCCTAAGCCTTGGGCCCCAAGGATTCAAATGAAAACTGAGCTCAGCCTTGCAGGTACAGCCTTGGCAGACCATGTGTTCCAGTGCCTGCTTCAAGACACGGGACTCCTGCACTTTGTCCTGCTCTGTCGCACCAGATTCCCTCTGAGCAGACATTGCTGAACAGTGAAAACCAGAGAAAATGCTCAAAAAGCAAATGCAAGTCTCTGCAATGATGAGGGAACCACAGTGAGGACCTGAGAGGATGTGGAGGTTTTTCTCCTCAGGAGTCAGCAGCCAGCTCCTCTTCCAGACCATTACAGAGAATTAACAGTTCTGCATCTGCCTTCTGCCTCTCTCATCCAGCTCAGCCACTGGGGCTGTGGATGGAGAACCTCGTGGACTTTATTCCCAACACTTAAAGTTCAGACCTACAAGAGCTAAACACACCTTTCACCAAGAACATCAAACCCAGTTCTCCACAATCCAGAAAGGGAAGGAAACCCCACTGGTCAGAAAGAATCCAAAGCTCCTTCCAGTAAGGTCCATTTCTACCCACCTTGGTTAAAGAAAATCCTCTGACTCCAGCAGGAGCCAAGGGGCATCAGTACTACAGTCCAGCAGCAGGGTCTGGCTGTGTTTATTTGCACTTCACACAGAACAGGTGATGGGCTGATTTACACAAGTCACTCTAAAGTGGTTTTTCACTTTACCGCTTGTTTATCTCGATCCCCTGTAGCTGTCTAAAGTTATCCTGATGATTTATAACTCATTTTGACATAATCCCTGAGCCAAGGATTGCTGGGATTTTGCTTTGTCAGCGTGCATCAGCTCAGTAATTAATCAGCTAATCTCCCAGCCTTGCCCTGGCACTGAGGCACAGCCCCTGGATGTTTTTTTGGGTGAAACTCACCACTGGATCCAATAGAAAGCCCTGCCCTGGGCTCACCCAGCTGGGGAGTTTCAGTGGAATTCCTCTGCCTGAGGCTTGACCACCCAGGAGCTGCAGAGTGTTTCCTTCTCCACAGGCAGAAGCACAATTTCAGTTTTCTGTCCCTGGATTTCACATGGAACCCACAAGGTGTATGAAACAGTAGCAGGTGGTCACATCCTGAATGGCACCTGCTGGCAGTGCCTGTGTCCCAGCCATGCCCCTGCTGGGATGGACACAATGCACTGGGAAACTCCGAGCCCGCAGCTCCTCGCTGCACTGTGATGCCTCAACAACAATTGCTTTTGTTGTGAGTTTGATAACGACAAAAATGTGTCAGATGGATGCTCCTGGAGAGTGTCCACGTTAATGGATGTGTCCTGGAGAAATACCACGTTAATGGGACAGAAAGGGCTTCCCCAGACAAGGTCCCCAGACTCCAACACTCCGGCGGAACAGAGACCTTTGATTAATCTTTTTCTGTCTGTTCTGTTGGTCCAACAAACCTTCCAGAATGGGTTCAGGGGTCACTGCCCGAGTACCAGAAAGCAGCAACACAACTCACTGCTGACTCTGGCCAGTGGAGGTAGCACAGAAATGGAATTCAGCATCTTATTGCCATGGCTGTGACTTCATTTCTCCACACAGGGCATAGTTTCACACTCCAGGGCATCCAGCAGCACCACCTTCCAAAACCACTCTTGTAAAATAAGGTTTCTTGTTATACTCATAGAAAATTCTGTTAAGCAAAGAAATCCCTTGCTTCCCATCAGTAATCACTTTGCCAGCCAGAGACAGAGCTCATCTCTTTCCTGATGAAACATTTTGCTTTGCTGATTTTGGTCTCTTTTGTGAGTCTTCAGTGGGGAGAGAAAAAAAACAGCAGGAAAAGTTTGTTCAATGACACACCACAATGTTCTAGGTCTAGTCATAGCACTGCAAGGCAAGGGAAATCAAAAAATTAGTATCTACTTCCTTCATGATCTGTAAGCCATGTGTCATTTGCTTCTGAAAATCAGCAAGGAGTGTTCAGGGAAAGGTTTTTGTCCCCCCAAGAATTAAGTAGTTTGCATAATTTCCTCTAAGCACCTAAAGCAATACAGATTTTTCTGAAAGAGTTTTCTCACTTTCTGTTCCTTATAATTAATTACCTGTCCCTGTCTTTCCTTCTTGTAAATTCAACAAGTTTCTAGACAACAGAACAGTCCCGATGACTGCTGGGAACCCTCTTCAAGGTCTCATGGAATCACAGCAGGGTTTGGGTTGAGAGGGACCCAAAGCTCACCCAGTTCTCCCATCTCCAGCACCCGTTTGCATCCATCTGTCCTGCCTCAGCCACCAACAGCAGGGACTGATTCCCAGATCCACTGCAGTGCAATTCCCAGTGCACCAGAAACCAGCACCAAACCCAAACCAAACCCAGGTGCACTGGCAGATCGACTGGAGGGACACTGGTGTGTGCAGAGCTCGTCTGGCTGGGTTCAGCTGCTGAAGGGCAGTGACTGTGAACCTCTTCAGCAAGATAATCCCTCTGTGAAGAGTGAGAGATGAAGAGAAGGAGCTCCCTGGACAAAGGGATGGAATGTCCTGGGTGAAGGGAGAGAAAAACCCTCAGCAAGTTTTCCCCTCCGTGTAAGAAAGACAAGGAGCTACTGGAGGGGATCCAGCAGAGGCCACAGAGATGATGAAGGGCCTGGAGCATCTCTGAGCCTGGTTAGTCTGGAGAAGGCTCAGAGGGGTCTCATCAATGCACATAAATATTTCCAAGGGGTGCCAGACTCTTTTTATGGTGCTCAGCAACAGGACAAGGAGCAACAGCCATAAACTAAAACTCAAGAATTTTCACCTCAACATGGGGAAGAGCTTTCCATGGAGGTGGCAGAGCACTGGAACAGCTGCCCAGGGAGGGCGTGGAGTCTCCTTCTGTGGATATTCCAAACCATCCTGGATGCCTTCCTGTGTCCCCTGCTCCATGTGACCCTTCCTTGGCAGCGGGGTTGGACTGGGTGATCTCCAGAGGTCCCTTCCAACCCCAACCATTCCGTGAATCTCTTGAAGGCTCTGAGATATTCTTAGCATTGTTCCTGTGCCCTGTCTAGAACAGAGCATTCCCAGGCTGGAACAGCCTTCAGACTAAAACAACTCCAGGAAAAGGCACAGCTTTAAAACCGCTTCAGCTGAGGGGAAGAAGCAGAATCATTTGTCGCAGCCAACCCCCTTCCAAGCGTGTGGAGGGATTCAACCCCACAACTTCTCAAGTATTTCCTTCTGTCTTGCTGGATCTGGCAGCATTTTTGCAGCCCAGGGCAGATAATTCCCAGGGCAAAGCCGAGCCGAGCCGTGGTGTCACCGCCCCGAGCACGCTCTTGGCTGTGCTGTGGCTTCCCTCCAGCGGCACAAGCTGTCAGCTGCACTTTCCTGGGGACACCTCTCCAGGAGAGCAGGCACCGAGCAACCCCAAAAAACGACATTTTACTGCTCACTGCTCCCAGCCGCACTCCAAATATTTTTCTGTTCATTTTTACAACACGCCCGTATTTACAGAACACTTTTCTGTCATTTCCCCCACTTATATTTGAAACATCCAGGACTTTATCTGCATTATTTATTCTTGTTTGGCTGCACTGAATAGATACACAGCTAGAAGGTAATACTCACCCACAAAATTAAACAAGACAGAATATATGCTAGCCCAGAACTACCTCAATTCCTGCCTAAGCCTTTGTTAACTGTTAGTGAAGTACAAAAGTTTCCATTTCACTGCCAGCAGCTCTGAGATTTGAAGAGACACTGGGTTTGAACTCTACAATCAGGAGAAATTGGAAAATTTTTTAAATGCAGCTCACTTTTCAATTTTACTAAGAATAAAATTTTATTAACATAAAATTTTCTAAATTCCATTGATATGAAAACCACTTACAGAGTACAGCCTTTCCACTTGCTCCTACCAGGGCCATTAGGACTCAATAGCCAATGTTTTTATATCTGTTTGGTTTGGTTTTTTTTAATTCCTGTTTTTTCTAATATAACCAAATAAAAGTTAGACAAAATTGTTTTATTTTACAGCCTAATTTACAGCAGTTACAGAAGATTTAAAATTGATATAACTTTTTAGGTTAACCACTTATATCCACTACTCACAGAGAGTGGAAATAT